AATATGTATATATGTAATATAATTACAATAAAGTGAACAAATAGGACACAACAATTAAATTAATATATATATATATATATATATATATATATATATATATATATATATATATATATACGTATAAATATATGTAGATACTTATATGACACTATTTATTTTTCATTCTTTTACATTTTACATATTGATTTATTTTTATTTATATTTATTAAATAATTAACTTGTATTAGGACATTTATACAATACTTACATAAAAATACATTTACATTTATGACATAAAGAAAAATATAGCCACAATTACACGATACAGTCATATAGTTTAAGGAAGTTTTTAAGGATTCGCCAAAAAATTAAAAGAAATTTTTTTAAAGTAATATTTTTGGGAAAATTGAAATAAAATAAATTTAAAAATAAAACAAAATATTAGAATAAAATATAGATAAGAACTTCTTTTTTATTTAAAAAAAAACGCTTTTATTTTAGGTTTAAAAGGTTTTGTTTAAATAATAAAAAAGCGGCAAAGTTTAAATTTAAATCTGTTTTTTTATTTTGATAATTAATTTGTTTTTTATTAAAATTATTTTACTTTCAAAACAACGTTTTATATAAGATATCTACAAGAAATGTTATAAATTTTTATTATTAAGTAGTTTGATTTTTTATTTTTGTAATCTGTAGAATTGTGGATAAATTTTGCAAATTTTCTTTTTTGATCTTTTCCTTGTTTATTTTAAGCGTATAAAATGGAAATATGAGTTTTAAAAAATAAATTTTTTTGCAGTCGTAGCCGATATTTGCATGAAACTATTTGTAAGCTAAATGGTAAAGATTGATTGTCAATTTAAATAAATGTTTAGCTATTTGCTAATTTTACATTAATTTGCTAATTAATTTTTAAACCCCAATGATTAATATTACTCATTATTAAAGGTTCAAAAGTTAAAGAAAAATATACATATATTCATCATATATTATTTAATATCAAAAAGTAAAAGAGGCTTTAATTTTTTTGAAAACTCAAAAAGCAGCATAGTTGAAAGTTGATAAAAAAAATTAAAAATATTTTGAGCAATACTTGTTGATTTCTTTAAAATTATTAAGATTGAATATAATCTTGGTCGAGAAATATAATTTTATGGAAAAAGTATTAATTTGGTTTTTAAAACATTTCTTGTAAATGCCCTTCAATTACTTAACATAAAATTTAATTATAACTAAAAACATAAACTTTTATAAACTTTTGATATCATACAACAAAACAAACTTTTCATAGAAATGTTTCTTGATTTTTCGTTTTAATAAAATTGTTCAAATGTCTCACTTTAGATCTCAATACAGAAAATTTTCTATTTCAAAAAAAAAATCACAGTATACTGATTAATGATTATTCGCTATTACTTATAAAATAAAATAACAAAAAATTAACAAAATATAAAAATAACCCAACCTAAAATTTCAATTATAACACAAAAATTATGTTAATTATCTTAGTTTGAATAGTAATATTTTCAAAAGAGCCACAGAATTTTATTTATAATTAAAAAGATAAGTCTACTTTTTAAAAACCAAATAAAAATTATAATTAAAGAAGTTCCATTTAAATATTAATCGGAAACAGAAAATAAAAATTAACAAAAAAATTAGTTTTACATGTACCTATACAAAAATCAAAAATAAGATACGTACAAATATTGAAATGTAGTTAACATAAAACCTATGATGTTTTTATTGACAGTCTAAGACGTGCAGCTAAACAAAATGCTTAGAAACAGCATTGATTTTCTTGAAAATATTTGTGAAAATTAATATAGGGAATTTATTGCCATAGAAAATCCAACTCTTTACAGTAGAATCTTTAAAAAATGTTTGGCACCAAAACGAAAAACATGTTTAAAAATATGTACAAATATACAGGACGTACTAAATGTACGTAGTACATTATTCATTTCTGTATGTTTAGAATGATATAACTGTTTTTTAAATTTCTTTATTTAAAATTAAAGTAAAACAACTTTAAACACCTTTACAAACATCTGGTTCAAATAATTCCCGAACAATGAAATCGCAAGTTCATTGTTTTAAGAATTTTTAACTTATGATTGCTTTTTCTTTGGTCAATAAAAACATCAATTAAAATTACTATGCAATTAAGGAGTTAACTAATGGTATGAAAAGGAAAAACATAATTTTGTTTTTAAAGAATGAGACAACCTATAATAATAGTTTTTGAGTAAATAAACACCAATTATATTTAATTGCCATAATTACAAAATATAAGTGTAATGATTGTACAATAAAAAAAATTTTAATTTTTTTTCATATATTATTTGTATTTAGTATATGCTTTTCATATACCATTGTAGTAACCAATATTAATTTTATTTTTATTTTTATTGTACACCTTAAATTTTGCAATTTATTCTATGTTACTTACATATTACATATTATGTACATATTCTTTATAATAATTATAATAATAAATATAATTTATTTATAATACATCCAGTAATTGGTATATAATATTATCTATATTTTGGTCTATAACATTAATTTTATTTGTATTATAATTGTATTAAATAAATATTTTTTAAATATAATCAAGATTTTAATAACATAAAGAAACACAAATAAGCGTGCACATCAGTGAACAGTGTTTTTTAGTTTATATACGAGTCTTTGTTGTTCTACATATTTATTTTTTATTAAATTTAAAAAATTTGCGAAACTATTAGGCAGCAAAATAATTTTAACTGGGGTTAAGGTAAAAATAAACTAAGCTTAAAATAAAAATCTAGTAAAAATCGGAACAAAATGCAAAATGGCGAAAATTATTTATAAGAACTGTAAAATATAGAATAAAGTGTTAGAATATTTTCTAATGTAATTTATTTTCAAATAGATTCCGTTTTAAATTTTATTCAAATAATAAACTTATTTAAATTTCCGTATTAAAAAAAATTTAGTAATTCGGTTGGCTGCTTCTTCGGAGTTACATAACGTAAATGTAATTGGTAACATAACTAAAATGTTTCCTCTTTTGCTTCATCAAAAAGAAATTTTCGTTAAAATCGTGACGGAACCTCCAATATCATCATTGCAACGGCATATTTATCAAAAGTAAAATTTGTTATTGTTTTATGTTACCAACTTAAAGAAAGATATTTCATGATATTATTTACGACTTACGTATTTATCAAGAACCACATAGTTATGTGGGAACTTTTATTCGAAATAAAAAAAGAGGAAGAGTTAATTAAAACGTGAAATTAATGTCAAGATTTCAAAAAAAAAGAGGCGCAAGAAACTAAAAATATTACCTCTTTGTTTGCTTTTTGTAATACTTACATATGCATTTGGAATAATAAAATGCAATGCATATTCAAAATTACTACATCAAGAGACTAAGTTCAATATTATTTTATTAAGAAAATTATTATTATAAGTTATTTACATAATTAATTGACCAACTTAAAGTAGGAACAAAAATACTTGCTTGAAATGTAAAGAATTATGTAGACTTATATTATGATTTTAACAAGATATAAACTTATTTTTAATAAAATTCTCTTTCCATTTTTTTACGATTTTCATATATATAAATGTTAGCTACCTGTGAAATACTATAATAATTTATTTTTATATTTCATAGAGCTAATATCAAATAAAAATTTAAATAAAATATTAAAACCAAACTGTAATTAAATATTAAATTAGAAAAAGTAGCAAAGAAAAGCTTTTACCAAATTACAAAATCTAATTGAAATTCAAAAACTTTTCATTTTAAATAAAAGCAAAATTAATTCTTTATGTTTGTAGTTTTATTTGTTGTGGTGATGTTGTTCTAATATTTTTAAAAATTGTTCTGCATAAATTAAAAAAAATAAGGTTAAATAATAAAGGAATGCCAAACGAAATTAAGAATCAGATCTAAAAACGAAAATAAAATACTGATAAAAAAATTTCGAAAAGCAATTCTCTTTTATACCATATTTTCATCATTCTAAATTGGTGTTTATTTGAAAAATAACTTTTGATTCTTATTTAGGTTTGGAAAAAATTAATACATGTATGAAAGTTGACATAAAAAATAATATAACATATGTCTTTGTTAAGTACGAGTACTTCAAATTTTCAGTGTATATTAATACGAGTACACAATTCAGCTATATAATTTTTAACCTGTATTAATATAATATCACTGCACTTTTGAACTTAAGGTATACTTATTTGAGCAACCAATTTTTTATTGAAAACACGTTTTCTGACTTTGACTATAAAATGTCATTGAAAAATTTTCTAATGCCACAAATAAAATTGTTTATGTCTCATTGCAGCAAGAATTTATGCAAATTTAATGATAAATTTTATAATTTGAAGATTCCATTAAAGTAATTAATTGTCAAATATTTGGCAATGATAAATTTCTAAGATTTTAATAACAAAATTTGTGTCACATATGTTCAGAATAAGTTTACTTTTAAATTTTATTTTTTATGTATATAAAAGCCATTTTTGAATATGAGCGAAGCTTTTAATTTAAGTTCAAACATGTTGTTGCATAGAAAACATACATACGTTACTACAAAATCGCAACAAAATTCTATATGCAGTAAATTTACTATAATTTTAAAAGCAATTGCATTTTTTTATATTAATGTAGGAAAAATTAGCTTTAATTTTGAAATGACACACAAATCTATGACGATAAATGGCACTTATTTAAGCTAAATATTATTCGCAATTCAAAAATGTCTTTGGTAAATGGTTAACATAATAAAATTGTTTATTTTATGAGATAATAAAAAACCTCTTCATAAATTAATTGAAAATTAAAAATAAAGAAATTATAAATATTGTTTTTTTTTATATTTATTTAAAAAAACAAAATTTATTTTTTATCGATATACCTTTTTTGTTAAATAATTTTTATTTTTAGTTTTTTATATAATTATGCATAAATATTAACTATTTTTTCTTTTCTATATTGCATTATAGACTCTCACCTTCGACCCTTTTCATTTTTTAATGTTCCCCCATATTTTGCTCTAGTTCCAATCAAGTCTATAATCTCTGGTATACAACTTGCAAATATCGCCTGTCATTTAATTAAAATTTGTAATTTTTGTAGTTAAAAATTTCAATTTTATTCTATTTTTAAATCAAAATTATGTACATATATGGTTAATAAAAATTTAGTAAAAAATTCTTAGTTTTGTTTTAATAAATTTAATTTGAACTTAAATTATACATTATATTAAATTTTCATAATATTGTTTTTCAATTTTATGACGTCGAACGGCTGATAAAATTTGGCTGCGAAGTAGATTTTTATGTTTTTTTTGTTTTTCTTTTATAAATGTATAAAGTATATGTATATGCATATGTATTACACATATATATTTATGTAGAAATACATTCATGTACGAATGTGAATATACATATATTTATGCATGAATATAAATATACATATTTATGTATGTATATATTATATATAAACATATGTATATTACATATATGTAAATACATATACATATATATATATACAAATAATTATATGTATGTAGTTATGATGAGTTTTATTTGTATTTATAATAAATTATTTTATTAAATCATTGTTTTAAATTATTTATGTTTATTAGGTATGGAATTAATATTTTAAAATTTTGATTTAAAATCAGAAGAAAAATGAAATGGTAATTTGATTGGTTTATTCATATCCAGACGATATTACAGCAAATTGTATAGGTTTTTTTATTTTCGTTCATTTTGTTTATTATAATAACATTAATATTTACATTCTTTTTTCTTCTAAGTAATATTTCTTTAGTTGGAAATACTTTATTTTAAAATATTTCCATTTATACTGTTGTTGTACATGATGAAAGCCGCAAATGATTTTCTTACTCACTTTTGGGTGCACACAGCTTGAAATTGAGATGATAACTTGCGTATAAGAATATTTTAATGCTGTATAATTAAATATTTGTAATCATAAAATAAGTTTTTATAGTTTGAAATTCTGCTTGTTTTAGCTTATAATTTTTTTGACCTTAAAATGCAAAATATTATTTTCATAATTAAAAAAAAAATCTTACAAACAGCAATTTTCAAACATAAGAATTAAAGGAACTAAGTATAATGTAATATAAAACATTAAATAAAACTGAACTAAGATAAAATTAAGATTTTAATATGATTTACAATAAATATAAGATGAAATTAATATAAAACCAAAATTTGTATTTAAAGATTTTATTGATATAAAGTTTGCTTATTCGACTGAAATAATATTTTTAGTAATATTTCTTTATATACTTATTGCTTTTGTATTTTTAAAGAAAACATTTTTTAAAGTATGTGCAAAAAATTTTTACGTATCTTTTTGTAAAGAAAAATATTTCATTTTTAAGATTATTATTTTGGTATCATGAAAGAAAAATGAAAAAAATTGTGTAGAAAAATTAGTTTCTTTCTTTAATAAAAATAAAGGTATTTCATATTTCTATGATTCCGAATTCGAATCATAGAGTGATAATGGGACAATTACCGGAAATACTAGAAATAAACGGTCATTTATTAAATTTCGAATAAGCTGGAAATTAATAAACTTTAATATTTTAACATTTTTAGACAAAATTGTAGTATTGTTTTCAAAATCAAAGTCATTCAACAAAAATATCCACAATTTTATCTATTCTAAACAGGCTGTAATCAAGAAAATCAAGGTTTTCAAAAACAATTTTGAGAAGATTTGTTGTAAAATATTGTGTTTGTGCATATAAAAGTATATATATACATACAAATATATATGTATAGAGGTATACTTGTGTATAGACATATTCAATATATATAATAATCTCTGACATCAAAACTGCAATAACACGTTGTTAATAAGTGTGTTAAAAACAATTCACCTTACTAGTTGTAATTGCTAAGTTGTACACCAATTAAATTTTTTTGCAGTTTTCAAGTCAAGAAATTTATTTATAAAGTACTCGTATACTTAGAATACATATTTGTACATATAATGTATGTATTTATGCTGATTTATATGTGTATATATGTATATATTTATATATAGATATGTATATTTGCATATATTTATATATATATATATATATATAAATACTTATATACAAATATTTATATATAAACATCTATGTGTATAAACACACAAATCCACACGCACTCAACACACACATACACGCACCCATATATATAAATATATATATATATAAATATATATATATATATATATATATATATATATATATATATATATATATATATGTGTGTGTGTGTGTGTGTGTGTGTGTACTGTGTGTGCGTGGCTGTGTGTGGGTGTGCGTACAAATATGTATATGTATATATATATATACATATATGATTCAAATACGTAAAAATATTTAACACAATTTTTTATTATAAAAACTTTCACAAAATCAAAATGTTTACTTAAAAACTTTCAATGACAAAAAAAAAATTCTTCAATTACTTATTTGTAAACTTTTATAAAAAAATTAATTAATACAAAAATTAATTGATTGAACAACATGTACATATGTATGTATAAAGTATGAGACTTACTAAATTTGTATATTGTCAAAATATTTTTCTAAATTTATATGTAAAATATTTATCTTTTTTTTTGTTAATTATATGACAAGCATAAAACTAAAACAAATCTGTGAAATACATATATATATATATATATATATTTATATATATATATATATATATATATATATATATATATATATATATATATATATATATATATATATTATAAGTATAGTATGTTTATTCATATAAACATAAGTCTTACCTAGTATATATAATGTAACATATATTTTGCGTAATGTATATATATATATATCTATACAAATATTTGACTATTTATGCATATATGTATAAACATAATTAATTGTTTTACTTTAAAACCTACAAGGCGGATAAATTTTAATTTTTAATCTATAATATTAAATGCACTTGATTATTTTAACATAGAAGGCGTTGATTTCTTGGGACAAAACATTTACATACACATTATTTATATTATATACGACTTATGTCACTACTTCTCAACTGTATTTTCAATATTATTTATATTTATGTATGGGATTTAAGGCACTGTTTTCTTTTAACTTCAGTTACAAAATAAAAAGAAAAGCTCAATGTTATTGTTTTTAATAATTATTTAATAGACTATATTACAAATATAGTAATTAGACATAAAATACTAAAAAAAAGTAAATTATACCCTAAAAATATTTCTAATTTTCAATAACATTTACTCCTATACAGTAGTGTTCAATACATTTTGTTTTATTTAATTTTTAATATCTGGGATTTATTACTAAAATATCATTTAAATTAAAATCATTATTTTCTTTTTGTCTTAAATAAAATAAATTTATTCGTTGTTCATATATTTTTGTTTTAAATTAAATTTTTATATAATTATTTTTAATATTTTTTTTTAATCTTAAACGTTTCTGGTTTTAATAAAAGTAGAACCTAAAATAAAATTTAATTTTTATATGAAAACGATAAAATATAAAAATTAAAAAAAGGAATAGTAAAAACTATTCTCATTATAAAAATTTTTCAAATTGAAAAAAAATTTGTTCTAATATGCGTGGCTGCGGCATACAGGCTGGTGCAAGCAAAAAACTTTCATATAAATTTTATTTTTATATTGTATATAATTATAAAAAGAAAATATAAAATCTACGTATGTATGTATAATAAATGTTATAAATATATAAATTTTGCTTTGATATTTTATAAATTTATGTTTCAATTTATATATAAAAATATTACAATATGCAAAAATAGACCAAAGGTTGTATATAAAAATAAAGATAATGTTAAAAAATATTAAAAAAAGGTGAGCAAAATATAGGAAGTTGTTTCAGAAACATGACTTATTTTGAGAGAAGAATAAAAATTTACTTACAATAAATAATGCAGTACATGCATAATACAGTATGCATATGTTTCTTTTATTAATTTTAAAATTTTGCATATTTTTTGAATTATCGTATATAGAAGTTCACTTTTAAGGAATTTGTCTCTCAGTTTAGTTTTTCTATACTAACAATTCTAATTTTAATGAAAATAAAATATCGATATGAAATTTAAATTGTTATGCCAATGTATTGAATATTAGGTTATAAATAAGCCACATTTCTCATACAACGTTGTACTAAAATAAGTTTCTTTTTTTAATAAATATAAACAGTATATATAAAACATTTTTATTCAAATAAAATAGTGATTTATAGATAAATGATTGTAAATAAATTAATGTTTTGATCATTTACAAAAAAACATCGTAAAAACATCGTATTGAAAACTCATAAATAACAATTATAATATTTGTATTAATAATAATTACTATGTTGAAATAAAATGTTATTTCATTTAAAATTAAACAAATAATTAAAATATTAAAAAAACAAGACAAAAAATAAAACACGTGTTAAAAAATTAAGCAAAAATTTTTTTTCTTTTTGATATTTTAGCAATTTAGTTCTTCTAAATTCTAAAATTCTAAAACCAATTATGATTTTAGGATTTCGAAAAATTAAAAACTCAAGATAAAAAATATATAAGAAAACAAACGAAATGCATAATACTGGAATTTACCGAAATTAAACGGAAAGTGTAGGGACGGGATTCAATTATATGTATGTTGAGTGCAAAATGCTTTTGTATTATTTGTTGATCAAAAATGGCAAACTTGTATGAACTAAATATTATATTAATACTATAATAAACGTTTTACACAAGTATGGTCAAAGAATTTTTTTTCGAAACAGAGAAAGATATAGATTGAAAAAAAAAAGAAAATAATTAATAAAAATTAAGAAATTAAAAAAAATATCTAATGTTTGTTTTTTGTACATTATTTACTATACAATTGATATCAGTTGGTTGACATGGTTTTAAAAATGTTTGTGGTAAATCATGTACAATTTTTGTCAAGTGTATATTTGATTGATATCAGTTTTTATTTTAAAATTATTCTTGTAAACATAAACGTGTGTCGCATAATATAAATGTTTTAATGAACATTAAATTAAAAACAAA